AGAGAGAGAGAGAGAAGAGAGAGAGAGAGAGAGAGAGAGAGAGAGAGGGGGGGGGGCGACAGGGGGAGAGTTGTGTGGGAAATGTTGGTCTCAGGAAAAGTGGTCATCGGAAATTGGCCACGTGGAATTTGGTCCGAAGAAAATTGCTTACAAATAATGAACATCCGTTTACTATTGCAAAGACGTATGAGAAGGTGGAAATTTCACACTCTCTCTTCTCCTTCCTTCTTCCCAATTCATGTGCTCCTCTGCTCCTTCAAGCTCCATCCCTGTATTTAGTAGCAAACCGAGGTTCACTTTTTGTGACCACTTTTCCTGGGACCACTTTTTCTGTGACCAATTTTCCGAGACTAAGAGAGAGAGAGAGAGAGAGAGAGAGAGAGAGAGAGAGAGAGAGAGAGAGAGAGAGAGAGAGAGAGAGAGAGAGAGAGGGCGCACGCGTGTGTGCACACGCATTTACACGCGCACGCACGCACGCACGCACGCACGCACACACACACATACAAGCACGCGGAATGCTTTACAGTTGTTGTAGGACGTGCAGTAATAAATCAGTCGAGGTTATGATTAATGTTCTTGCAGCGGTGGCACTGCTGGCGCTGTCGCGTCTTGCCGTGAGTGATGGTTTGACACTCCATCTAACTGAGTGGACAACTGGACATGTGGTCGCGTAGTTTATACCCATCGAGCCGGTTTCTGTCCGCTTTCATTCCAGCGGTATCCAGTGAAATTATTATCTTGAAATCAATCCCCCGATCTTCCCTCTTGGTTAGAATACACCGGGATTCTTTATGTTACGTATATGAGTGAGGAAATCCTTCTCCTGAATAATGCAGCCTCCGTATTTTCCATGCGGCAATGTGTTATACATGCGATAATTCGAAATTGGGAGAACAGGCGAACAGTGAGACACAATGAGTACTTCGACTGATTCCAACAGCCGCTGTCACTGAACGTGTGAGAGATCATTCTCAATCAATACCGAGTGCAATGTGTGGAAACAATTATATTGGAGAAACCGGCCGCAAATTTGAAACACGCTTTAAAGAACATAAAAAGGACGTAGACTCCGTAGCTCCCAAATCTTTCACAATGGCCCAACGAAAACAGTCGGCTACCGAAATAACCAAATCCGCGATCGCGGCCCCACGTAGTGAACAGCCAATCACACCATCGATCGGGATAATTAGAAGATTATCGATCGCGAGCCAATCAAAATCAGGTGCTGGATTAAGGAAGCCATCTGCATCCGCAAGACCCCGAACAGCAACCGTGACGAGGGGGATACAGATTCAGTCACGTGTGGACCAAGCTGTTGACCACGACACCATCTGGTGGTCAAAACTGATAACTTCAGTAAGCTTTGAGAAAGCCTCCTGATAGGAGGCGAAACGTCAGCAGTACGTTTTGAATCAACACGGTTCAGTAAAAATTAACCAAGATAGATCCATTCTCAATCACTTACGCGGTCACTGTGGTAGATTCGTAAAACACTTGTTCAGAATGCGCCATGCATAAAGCGCCGTTTCGAAACGCAAAATGAACAACGTGCATGTATGTATGTGCGCGCGTGCGTGCGTGCGTGCGTATATGCAAGCGTGTTTGTGGTGTTCGATGGCGTAGAAAAATCAATTGCAGCAAATACGCTGCTAGCATAGCTCTTATAATACTATTATACCTCTCTGTGAACAACTTCAAGACTCACAGCCGTAGACCAAGCACGGTATCAAACAATGCAGGTATTTGTTGATTATTTCTCGGGCCTCAAAGCATCAGCGTGCGTGGGTGTTGCGTGGGTGTTCGCGCAGACATCAGATGGATGAATACTGGTTTACTAGTGAGCTGAATAATTTTTGGGGTCGTGTGTAGTAGGTGATCCAAAGTTAGCAGATTGTTAGATACGGCCTAGGCACGTGAAATAATGAATAAACGCCTTTATCCCGTCAATCACGGTGTTCCGGCCCAGCCACTACGGCTGATCGATCTTATCTATGATGTGTTATGGAGCAGGGTTAACTTGATTTATTCTTCATACTGAAGGGCGACGATGGCTAGCTAGCTTCGGTATGCAGTGTTTACAGGTCACTCGGACCTCGGCTTTTATTGCTTACATAAACCTGCGCATGGTACGACCGCGGTACTCGGCATTCAGGAACACTAGAAAGCCTGCAGGAGTCGTCTAATTGAAGTTAGGTGTAGTGAGTGCTCTTATAAATTAATTAGTGCGAAGGTAGAGCACACTATATTGCACGTAATGTCAGCCGAGGATCGCAGAGTAGCGCAGTTACGGAGTAATCAATGCGAGTCTAACAGGAAACACTTCTCTTTACTGCTAGGTATTAACGCTGCCACAGTTTTATCACCATCGCATATTGTAGCTGACGATTCTCTCTTAAAATCTGCGTGCGGTTTATGGTTTCACGAATGCCGTGTGATTATTTACCTGCATGCGTCATCACGTGTGCTCGCAGAACGTTAACTGTTTAACGTCCTACAATGGTGGGAAAATAGGATTGCTCATGCACAGCAGTAGACTGACGTCATAGGCGCATTAATATATATTACAAGGTTCATTAGTCCGTGGTACATTGATGTACATGGCAGTAAATCAGGAGTACGTGAATTTATTACAGGAGTAAATCTAGAGTAATTCGAGGGTTCTAAATTTCTCGGTGTTATATGAGGGTTTTATGTACGTAAAAATTTGCGTAATTGTGTCTAGTACCTGATGATTTATTTTGTGAAAAATTTAACCCGTTTGTGATTGTTTGGCGTGATGCTATGCACCGGTGGTATATAGAAAACGCCCACTAGTGAAAAACGTGAAACATGTAATTCACACTAGACCTTGAAGTCTCATTGCTCTGAAGTATAAAAGCATGTAGAGGTAAACATTGAAAAACGTGGTTTTATGGTGGAATTATTAAATAATATGTAGTGTTGATAAAAAAGCTGGTCATTGCGAAAAATATATAGACCAATTGTGAAAATAAAGTAAATATCTGCTTTGGAATTGTGAATTTTAATCTCCATTTGGAATGTGAATGGGTCTGACAATTGCACCCAAATCTGGCTTACACAGAACCCTGTGTGTATTCAAATCGAATAAAAACCTATCGTTTTTCAGAGAAGCTGCTGAACTCAAGCGGACGGGAGCTCAGGAGGGCGTTATTCTCTCTCAAGCAGCTCTTCCAGGTAAGAATCAATCGAAATGTGTTGCGCTCCTCGTGCAGACAGTCAGTGCTGTATTTCTCATTACCTGCAGCTAGAGGCAATGTCTCGGATTGTTGCCTGATAGGCTCATTATACCAGGCTGATTATACAGCAGTTGCTTGATCATCATCATAACAGACATGTACATCGAGACCTCGTGTCAGGAACAAGTTCGCACACTGAATTGATGTAGAGATTCGATAAGGTCTTGGGTCGATGCTGATTGACATTTTACACTTCTGCCGTTTTAAACTGGTTTTCCAGTCCCAATACACAAGTAAATACTCACAAAAAGTGAGAATCTCTAAATCCCCGTAAAACCAAAATGTATATGCATGTTTCATCAGCCTACGTTGGTCTTCTTTCAATCATCAGTTTGTCCTTGTAACGTTGCTCGTAATGGCTATGAGGCCCAAAATACCCGAGAAAAATATCCCAATCTCCGCAGCTCACCCCTAGCAGGTGCGCTGTGAAGAATTGACGTGATTTGATCGATCAATGCTCCGTCATTATGGAACCCTTGTTAATAGGTCCGGTCGGGCAATGATTGAGTAAGCCTAATGCAGCCATTAACGCACGCGGTCGAGTTTGTGACTGTCCATCTGTCATTCTTTCCCGTGATTTCGCTCACATCCTAACAATGGTCCACGGCTGATAAATGGATGCTTCGTCTTGCCAAGCTAAAGAGGACTGTCACGTTTTCACACTGAGCATATTTGTAAAAACAACTTTTTTGGCATGAAGTGCAAGTAGGCTTACTAACTACGTGTGTGTGTGTGTGTGTGTGTGTGTGTGTGTGTGTGTGTGTGTGTGTGTGTGTGTGGTGTGTGTGGTGTGTGTGTTGTGTGTGTGTTGTGTTGTGTGTGTTGACGCTGTTGTGTGTGTTGTGTGTGTGTGTGTGTGTGTGTGTGTGTGTGTGTGTGTGTGTGTGTGTGTGTGTGTGTTGTGTGTGTGTGTGTGTGTGTGTGTGGGTGTGTGTGTGCTGTGTGTGTGTGTGTGTGTGTGTGTGTGTGTGTGTGTGTGTGGTGTGTGTGTGTGTGTGTGTGCTGTGTGGTGGTGTGTGTGTGTGTGTGTGTGTGTGCTGTGTGATGTGTGTGTGTGTGTGTGTGTGTGTGTGTGTTGTTGTGGTGTGTGTGTGTGTTGTGTGTGCCTGTGTGTGTGTGTGTGTGTGGTGTGTGTGTGTGTGTGTGTGTGTGGGGGTGTGTGTGTGGTGTGTGTGTGTGGTGTGTGTGTGTGTGTGTGTGTGTGGTGGTTGTGTGTGTGTGGTGTGTGTCTGTGTGTTTGTCTGTGTCTGTGTGTGTGTGCGTGTGCGTGTGCGTGTGTGCGTGTCTGTGCATGTCTGTGCATGTCTGTGCGTGCGCGCGTGCGCGCGTGCGTGCGGGCATGTGGATGTACAAGGATGTCCTCAAACATTTACTGAATCAACGCACAGCAACCAGTTGCCAGGTCGTATTGGTCGAAGGCGCCTTTAATTTGTGTTTATTTCACTTGCAGGAGAGTTTAGTTGAGTTTAGAATGGTCGCAGTAAAATCTAAAACGTGATCATTTAAAACGTTAATTTTCAGGATGACAAGGACCTCGTGCATGAGTTTGTACAGAACGACGGGCTGGCCTGTCTTGTCAAGGTCGGATCAGAGTCCGACCAGAACTACCAGAACTACATCTTACGGGGTGAGTAGTGCTTCATCTGTCCACTGCGCGCTCGAGGCATGGCATCTTAGTTTACAATGCTCTGACAGAAGAAATCTCCATCTCGCGTCTGTCCACAGCACGCCGGCACCAGCAGGTTAATCAAGGCCATCTCTAAGCCAGCTCTATCTAATCATTATCGTAATAGAAATAGGTGTGTTTCTAAAAAACAATGCTTGGCATTGAAGTTCCGCAACGTCGGCAGTTTGACGTCAATGCGTGAAAAAACACGTATAAATTGGGTGAGGCTACATGTCGCAAGTCTCTTCCCTTCCTTCCGCCATTCCTCCTGTTTGCTCCACACGTGTCTGACATGGGTAATGAAGGAAATGCACTGCTTATGGCTTATGAAGCAAACAGAGATATGCCATGATGAATGTACGACAGTGCACACCCAGATACATATTAATCTATGGTAATATATTAATGTGATTTCCGCAGTCCAGAATAATTTGGTTAACTAAATTAAGTTGGGTGGCTGGTTGCACAGCGTTGGCGTTTGCCCTTTAGCTATGTGGGTTGGGACCGGTAACAGAGAGATACACTTCTTGGTGTCAGTAGTGCGTTTGAACCTGAATCCAGGCAAACACAGCTCATCTTAGCTTTAGCGCACGTGTGTGTGTGTGCGTCCATGTGTTTGTGTTGGGGTGTTAACGGTTACAGCAGGTCGACGTGAAGAAAAAATCTGTTTCTTTTCCAGCGGAAAAGTGACAGCCAAAATATAATTTTTTTTTGCATAGAAATCCTAAGTTTTCTTCGTGAAATAATTACTATTTAGCATGGTACATAGCAGTTATTTATAGGCGCAGGTTCGCGTGCTTTCTTGCACTATAGCCTATACCTCTACTACCGGTACTAGAGGTACCTCTGGCAAGACAGCGCGTAACATGCGGCACAACACTGGGTGCATTGCGGATAAAAAATGGTTTCCCAGCCTTTCCATCAGAAATGTGCTTACACATTTTCGGAAGCAGATCTGCTAGCTTGTACCAGGAAATGTGTAAATAAGTTAATTTCGCCCCTGGCTTGTATGTAGTGACACCATAAATCAGTTGCTAGCAAACATACTGTAATTTGATTGCTCAGCGGACTATAGTAAAACTTCTTCTGTGCGGTGCATGGTATTGAAGATTTGTACCAGCGCACAACAATATCTCTAAAGAGGTGCAGACATTGCCTGTCAGGCAACGCTAACTCCTAAACACACCTGACACTACCCCTCCCCCCCCCACACACACACTTCAGAACTAGAAGCAGAAGTAGCAATAGAAGTAGAAGCAGAGGCAGAAGCAAAGGTAGTAGTAGAGGGAGAAGGTAGTAGACTCGAAGGAACCCTCTCCAACTATCCTTTATGGATAGGTGTATGTTCTATAAAGGTAACCGTACTTTATGACAATGAAACTGTCGAAAGTATCCCCTACAGATAGACGCCCGCTTTGTAGGGATGTCGTCAACGCAGGTTTGACTGTACCTTGAGGGAATGGACTCTAACTAGTCTTCACTGTGATCTATTCTCAATAGCAATTACTGTAGATCATGCCGCCGCGTGAAGTATGCCACTTCATCACTTCCACCTTCATCACCAGTGCCACTGCCACCTTCATCAGCAATGCAAATGACTGTGGTTGCCCTCTGGCTCGTTTTAATGACGAATTAATCGTTTTAATGTTTCTAGTGGCTGTGTCTGGTAGTTTTCTAGTGTCTGTGCTTGGCGTCTGTTTTTGGTGTATGTGTCTGGTGTCTGTGTCTAGTGTCTATGCCTGCGTCTGGTGTCTGTCTAGTGTTTGTGTTCAGTGTCTCTGGCTGGTGTCTGTTGTTGGTGGCTGTGTCTGTGCCTGGCGTCTGTGTTTAGTGTCTGTCCCTGGTGTCTGTGGCTAGTGTCTGTCCCTGGTGTGTGTGTGCCTAGTGTCTGTCTCTGGTGGCTGTGCGAGCGTTATACGTCAGGGCTGACTGCTATAGCCAAGAGCAGCTCTGATTGCCATTCAATTTCGGGGGTTGTTACTTGCCTGAGCTCCCCGCCCCTCCTCTCTCTCCTCTTTCCCCTCACATTGCTCTGCTACGGAACCTGGTCCCTCCTCCTTCCTCTGCCTTCGTCCGTCTGCTCATAACACACCCCACTCCACCTGCGTCTTTGTCTTCGCTATCAGCATCGACCCTCGGTGAATGAGTGAGTGAGTGGGTGATTGAGAATATTAGCGCTGAAATCTGCTGCACGCTCACGTAACGTGCTGCGAGCATCCGGCTAAAGAGTTAGGGGCGAGCTGGAGCCGCAAATGCGGCGAGTAACTGGTTTGATCTGGCACGAGGCGGGGTGTGCGCGTGTGGGTGCCATCGCTGGACGCGTTACCCAGTAGCTACATTTATGCCTGGAGTTAACCCAGCCAGACTAATCAACTGTGCGCGCGTAACTGCAGTAGCGTACGTGCTGCTGTCTGTCGTTATCACACAGATGCGTGTTCGTGGTGCGCTCGTGTTTTTAAAAGAATTTTATACCCGTTTTAAGGCAAACCCTCTCCCTGGTTATCTGCCGAGTCGTATGTACTGCTCACAGTGATAAATGTGAAAGCAAGCTGGCACTTTTTCGCTGGAAACCCTTTGCAAAAGCATATTGTAATTTTGTATTGACTCAGTATATCTCGCTGTTGATATGTCTGCCCTCCAGGGGCGTGTACAGGGGGGGGGGTCCGGACCCCCCTGCTCGCGCAGAAAACGCATCTAAGGGGGTCTAATTTAAAAAAATTCTGGGGGAGGGCCCCCCTTCACGTGTTCGCAAGTTTGGGTTAACGGTTAGACTCCCCCTGGTACAAATCCTGTACACGCCCCTGCCCTCTCCCCTCATAACGTGAAAATGCACCCGAAAGTGTGGCTGTAAATATCTGTCATGCGTCGTCGCGCTAATTGTTCTACCCGAAAAACCAAGTTTCCAGGGAAAGTGTGTTTTGGCTGTCCCTGCGAACATTTAGTGCCAAAATAGCGCTAGTTACTGATATCCGAAAGTAAGAGTGAATTCTCTGCTTTTTCTTGAGTGAGTTAGTTAGACAGCCCTAGGCGTCGTTGCGAATCAATCGTTGGCGACTGCCAGAGTAAATTACGCACGCACGAATACATTACGCACGCACGAGTACATTACGCACGCACGAGATCAAATTAGAAGCGGCATCGCGTAAAGGAATTATTTTGTCTGGCGCGTATATCTCCCGTGGTAATGAAGCAAACAGGTAAAACTGCTCTCTCCCTATCCTCCGATTAGCAATGTCTATAGCTACCGTCTGTCTGTCTGTCTGTCTGTTTGTCGAATCTCTCTCTCTCTCTCACGCTTTCTGTCTCTTTGCCTCTCGGACTCTCTTTTCTCCCCCTTTTTCTCCCTCCCTCTCGCTCTTTCGCCCTTCTTTCTCTGTCTCTCTTTATTGCAGAACGTGGGGGCTGTAGTGATACACCTGCACCGTCTGCCCGCGCCTACACACGGGATCGAACTCCTGTCACACGGAACATTTTCTTCGCACCTTTAGCGCATAGATTAATGCATGCTTCTGGTCCCACCTAATGCGGCGGGGCTAGCTACCTACACCCAATACAACAACCGTTGATAACAACACAACACAACTTAACCCAACCCAACAACAGCTGATAACGGTATAAACAGTTATGCTATATATACGCGCATTACACGCAATAGGCGCTAATTTCTTCTAGGCCGTCGTTACACATGTACAATAGCTGGCTTTGCGAGACGGACACTCCGCGTAGATTGCGGGGCGAAGTTCCGCTTGCTAATACCTGTGGGTGCTCACGCCCCTGATGTCCCGGCCAGCTCCTTCATCAGCCACGCACACACCTAGATCACAGCGCCCCTCCCAGTCACCCCGGCAACTGGTTCTTGTTCGGACACTGGCACGGATCCGCGGGGGGATGCTAGTGAGGGTGCGTGCGTGCGTGTGTGTGTGTGTGTGTCTATAGTAATGAGTACCGCCTGATAGCTTCGATTCGGGTGGTAATTGCAGGGATTTGAGGCGAGTCTGTCACTCTTAGTGATTAACTGCGTGGATATCTGTAATAGCGTTGTAGTTTGTGCACAGTCGGGCGGTGAAGGGGGAAGTTAGAGGTGACAAGGGTCATACGATGCGAGGAGCGAGTTGGTGCGCTGGTTGACACACTGTGGCGTCACCCCATAGTGACAACCCTAGTGTCACGCACAGCGGTTAAATGTGTCACACATATATGAGATCATGATGAGATCTTAGTTCCGGAGGCGTGGAAGGGATGGGTATTTAAATTGAAGGCATTTATATCGTAACTCTATAGACACTTATAAATAGAGCGTAAAACAATGTCTGGAAAAAATGTAGTGGTGTGTTTTTGTTGGTTTAATTAAAACACACTGTTCAGAAAAGCTCGGATAGAGGCTGCAGTCAACCATGTTGTATGTCAGTGACACTACATTCTCAACGCATTCTCTTCGCTAAGTGGCTGAATCACATAGTTTAGTCATTTCCCACTGCTCCCGCACAGTGTGCGCACTGTCTCTGAATCGCGGGTCGCTGGTTTGGAAACGATTCGAGGCGTGTCGTTTCAGATTCCATCTTTTAAAATAATGAAAAGCTCAGCACAATTCAAACCCATCGGGTGAGTGACCACGAACCTAAAAAGTGAATGGACGTCTTAAATCACAGCATTGTGTTATCCGCACAAGCCTGAACCATCTACCCCAGGCGACCTTCATTGTTGAAGCTGTTCGTTAAAAAACGAAACCGTTCCCAGCCTTTCTTTGTGTAGATCCCAACCATGGATACCTCTTATCGCGTATCGAATGGGCAGAACCTTGTTTGTCAGTCACAGTGTGGCGTTTACCTTATGTATATAGCTATAGTCGCAATTACTTTTTCATAAACCAGTTACTAGTCTATCAAGCTAGTCAGTATTGCCAGGCTAGGCTCATCTATCAAGTTAGGATAAATTTAGTCGCATTATACCTATAGATATAGGGATAAATAGGTGTGCATAATTCCAGCACGCATCGTCACGTTTGTTATGGAGAAAAGGTCAAATAACATGCAATTCCATCTAGGAAAACTTTCAATCCAGTTACAATTATTGATTATATTTTGTGTTTATAGTAACACGTTGCTTTGTATCTAGTCTTACTACTCATTGGATCCTAATTATTGCAGGTGTTTACTTTTGCAACATCGACGCGTTACCACAAATGTTAATTAAATTCGACAATTCCGTTAATTTAAGTGGCGACGTGTTGTTACACACGATCAGCTATAGGCACTCAGAATCAAACAGCACATGAGGAGTACGCTGCCTGCATGTCTTACCGCGGCTGCACGCGTACTTGTGTGTTAATCCATTACCAGGCCGACCATTGCAACGAGAGAGATCAGCTATACGGGAAGCACATTAGTTAGAGTCAAGGCAGAATTACGCGAACCTTCGCGCCGTAAACGCGCTAGCGTGACGGCTACGTCTGCCTCTTGTCCCTAATCCGATACCTAATACCCTAATACGGTAAATGTGGACGTCAGCACGGATGGAGTAAGCCCGTGGAGATTGCTCGGACGCTTGGAGCGCGTGCGAAGGGAGTTGACAACTTGACCTGCCTCGGAGTGTATATAGTGTAACGGCAAAGAATTCTGTAGCGATTAGTATAAACGTCCCTGAGACTAGGCGCCTGTGCTGGTGATCAATGATTGCTATAGCTATATAGATAGGAGCTGACAGGATTTGGAGGTGGTAGAAGAAGCACATTCACGGTTGACGTGCGGAAGGAGGCGAGATTATTTTGTCAAGAACACAAAATTACTCAGCGCAAAGACAGGCGTGGTTCGAAAGTCAGTTTTACTTGAGGATAATCACACGTGGTCAACATGACACAAGCTTAGATATAAGAGATATTCATATGCAGTCAGCGTGACTTAGAGCAATTGCAATAGTTATTCATAGGAGGTCAAAATGCCATAGAGCTGGTACAAGAGATATTCATAAGAGACGAAAATGAGCTAGAGCCGCTACAGGGGATATTAAACAAAGGTCAATATGACACAGAACAGATACTACACATATTTATATGAGGTCACCATCGCACGAGAGCAGGTACAAGAGATATTCATAAAAGGTCAACAGGACACAGAGCACGTGGCGAAACTCTCCACGGATTTCGCCAGACGAGCATAGAATTTAAAAGGAGATTCGATGCTTCCCCGTGCATCTCGTAGAGGCATGACTATCCATGTGACAACACGTGTACACGTCACTACACGCTGTCTCTGCTTGCTCGTGGACCAAGTAACGCGTGTGCTGTGATCGTCCTGTAAGTTATGTCGTTTGCGCGACGAAACGACCCGTGTTCACCTGCGAGAGTCGCATAGCTAGAGCTTGCCGACCGCACGGCGTGCTTTACTGCTGAGCAGGTGCTCTGCTGTGTGTGTCGTCGCGCATACTTTGCCGCAGTATATCACCGCCAGAGAAAACGATGACAGCTCTTCCCTGCGAGGTACGTGCGCGTAACTGGTTCTCTCGCGGCACGACAGTGAAACTCGGGCGTCGTCTCACTATCACTTTCTGGCTGTTGTTTGTGACGGTGACGCTGTCGCTGGTGATGAAGGTGGAATGGAGGGTGATGAAGGTGGAACGAAGGGTGCCCGTAGTGCGCAGGTGTAGACCACTTGCGTTGCGTGTACATAGTCTGCACCCATAGAAGACATACTTGTCATGTTATCAGTTTGTCATGTTGTCATGTTATCATGTTATCATCCCATGCAGTCAGTATACAGAGCTGCCAGGTTCAGAACAGTGTATAATATTCGGGGTAGGGTACATTATAATTATTAGTTTATTACTGGTGTAGTGTTCATGGCAGGCTGCACTATTCCTAGTGTAGTGCATTCATGGCAGGCTGCACTATTCCTGGTGTAGTGTTCATGGCAGGGTGTAGTATTCCTGGTGTAGTGTTCATGGCAGGGTGTAGTATTCCTGGTGTAGTACTCATGACAGGGTGCAGTATCCCTCGTGCAGTATTCCTGGTGCAATATTCATGGCGGGCTACACTATTCCTGGTGTAGTATTCATGGCAGGCTGCAGTATTCCTGGCCAAATATGCCTGGCGCAGTATTCAGGGCAGGGTTAAGTTTTTTGCCGTTGGTTACTGCGTGTGATCTTTCAGATTTTTATCTTGTTACAGGTTCCTCATGCTTTACTCTTCGACCCTGATGATAAGATGTTCCGCCAGCGTTTTAGGGGGGGGGGGTATTTACCAAGCATTTTAAATGATAATAAATCGGCATTAGCGAGATGTAGGTATAAATGCCTGCACGATGATCGCAGTTATCCTATTTTAGTGATGAAAATAAATGAGCGGGACTAAATCTAGACGTTAGAACAATATCACGGGATTTTTATAGCTCAGATAATAATTTATATTAGTATAGTTTGCTTATCGCAATTATTTCAATCTAGATGTGTGTTAGCTTTACATACATTGTTCCTGAACTCAAATAATTACATTGCACTGGCAGTCATTGCTTCGAACTCACATTACGTTTCGCAGGATGTCACACGGTGCTTGCACTGTTTACACATGGGATCAAAACAGTGAACTGCGATTTTCTAGTCTGTTGGTGAAAAAAATCTGCCACCCATTGTGTGCGCTGCGAAGCAAACCATACTTTTTAAACTCGCAGATTGGCTACCTACTGAGAATGATTCATTCAGTTATGCATTCTTTATCCATTGGCGTATGTGTGTGCGTGTGCGTTCGTGCGTGCGTGCGTGTTTGCTTGCCTGTATGTCTGCGTGTGCGTCACTGCGGGTCGAGTGTGGAAGAGAGCGTAAATTGTATTGTATTTGTTGTTCTGTTTTCTGGTTTCTCATATATGTGCGTGTTTGGGGGATGCGTACGTGCGTTTTCCAGTGAAGATATTATTTATTATGGCATTTACTACTTCTTTATATTTATTACAAATTTATAACAAGGCGCACTGGCGCTGCGGTCATGTTATAGTTCTATAGAAAGCAACGTCGGAACGTTTGTTTGTATTTTTCCAGACAAACACTGAAAACTGCATCCAATGATATTAGTTTTCGGTGCTAGTTGTCCGTGCAGTAGACGATACGACATAACGAATTGCTGGTTAAAGTTTCCCAGGTTATACGCGTATGCGTCGCTCAGATATCTGTCTCGTATACAACATACAGTAATAACATCAGATTATGATATAATATCAGGAGTTAATAAAGACAAATGCCTTTATTGTCTTTATTAACTACTGATAATATATAGATAGATATACTATTATATAGATTGTCTATATTGTCACACTCGTGATAACATAGGCATATACTTGTACCGCATAGTAGCGCAGATGGGGTCGTTGTCGTATCAGGTACTACAGATATGTACCCGAGGAAGTTTTAGGTTGTATTAGTATTAGGTTTAGTATTATGTTTTTATTTTTATATGAGGTATGTTTAGGGTTAGGGTTAGGGTTATGTTTAGGTTTGGCCAGGGTTAGGGGTAGGGGTAGGGGTAGGGGTAGGGGTAGGGGTAGGGTTAGGGTTAGGGTACACTTCTGTAGTACAAGTCTGGTACACTTTGTGTATACATATATGTACCGACGGGTACATATCTGTAGTACCTGATACGACAACGACCCTTTCAGGCATAGTAGCATGTATATGTGTTTTATGACTCCCCCCCCCCCAATCGTACAGTATAGAGGCAGCTAGTTGTTGAGTGGAAGTACGTTCTACTGCGTGTATGTGTGATCAGGCGATGTTGATGTTATGTGCCGATGAGCTGAACCTGTCATGGTTTTTATTGGCTGCGGCCCGCCTGCTATTTATCATGCTGTCAAGTCGGCAGTGATCGTGTGCTGGTTGTTGGCGGTGCTAAATCTCCAGGTGGAAATGTTAATGACAAGCCTAGCTCAGCGTGTTAATACGGGTCATTTTGCTGGTATTTATGGGTGTATTAAAGTGTAATTAATTACGAGTATACGCCCATTTCTATATTGGTTAAATACTTTACCTATAGCTGTACCTATGTATTACTTCGTTCCGCCACAATACGATATGGAGCCGACAATAAATATCCCATAATACACATAGTTATGTAAATAGTGTCTATATAATAATAACAGGATATACAGGGTAACTTATGAACTAAACCACTAAAGTTAATAGGGTATATTATTTACTCCTATTATCTACTCCTGATAATATAATTGTGTGTATATCGATAATCGTGCAGCCAACCAGTTCTCTGACGGAGTGAAGGGCTACGTAGGTGACGCAGAGAGAGAGAGAGAGAGAGAGAGACGAGAGAGAGAGAGAGAGACGAGAGACAGAGACAGAGACAGAGAGAGAGAGAGAGAAGAG